AATAAAGCGGTGCGTGTACCCTGCATACACTATGTGCTTCATGCAGTGCGTGATGTTTAACTGCTTTCCATCTTAAAGTGTGATCGATGGAAAATCATTCAATAGCCCTTTATTTTAAGTCATTTTTCTCAAATTTCTGACAAATTATACTTATTAGTAACGAGAAATGTCTATAAAGGCCACCTGCGTGACACAAACTTCCTAGCTCTCCACGCGAGATGTATATCAGTCTTTGTAACTCGGGCGCCGAGGTCAGTTGTGGAGCCTGATCAGCTGTACGTGTACCGCTGGCTGATCAGTCTAGTTCTTGCCCTGGGGCCGTACTTTCATAAACAGCTGACAGTTCGTAACTCCTTCAGCCAATCACTGACGTCTTCTCAAGCTACACCCGCCAATCACAGAGAGGAAATCGGCCGCTATGTGTACTTAGGCTGTTATGTGTATACAATCGTACACTTAGGCCACTACGTGCACTTAGTCCGCTACAACTACTTAGTGAGCTACGTGTATTTGCGCTGCTACGTGTATATGGGCCGCCACGTGTACTTAATTAGGCCGCTACGTGTACTTGGACAGCCACGTGTACTTGGGCCGCTTCGTGTACTTGAGGGAGTATTGATTTTACGTCCCCTGGCCATTATAGTGGAAGCTGTTACCACTGATCTTGATTCAGTTGTTGCCTAGCAGTGTTATATCTTCATGACTGGCCTCAGACAGTTTTCGCAACCGTGTATTGTATTTCTGTTTTTGCATTGTCGCATGCAGAAAAACGTGTTAATGTTTTAACGTGCTTTAATTTTCTTAAATAAAATATTTTACACTAATTGTTGTTTGCTTGTGCAACAGCTGCCCAATTTATTACTAACTAGCTGATTAGCCTCGTTTTTCCCTGCTGGGTAATCCTTGTAATTTTCTAATCTGATATCCAGAATTCCGTAAATACAAATAAAGTGAATGCTTGTTAATTGAATGAAATATCATTCAAACCCACATTTCACATAGTATACAGAACTCTAACATGACTCAATCTCACAAGGAACTCTTAAACTCACAGAACTCTTCTTCATTCAGATTTTGATATATCAATTGAAAAATCAAATTTCTATTTTGATCCGGTCTCTACCTCCCGGTTTTCAATGCCTCACTATTCTCCCTCTAAGAATGCATTTCTATGTCCAGATAATATTTGCTACGGCATTAAAGAAGTAATTCTCCCATTGTGAAATGTGCTTTCCTCACTAAAGAAATTCTGATCGTATGATATGTACACTGTTCAGTCGGCAAAATATACTTACAATTAATGAAGTTTGGAAAAAAAAGATGCCGATGATATCCTCATTTTATTCCCTGAGAAAAATAAACTGATGATTGAATACGATGTTCTTGTATACTTTTCAATGGAAATCATTGTTTAAACGTTTTAAACAATTACGATTTCTTGTCAAAAAATTATGTTCAAATGAAATTCCTGACGATGGAAAACTCTGCATACATCTGAACTTGACGAAAATTTTATGTTGTGTTCTGATTGCGCTCTAAACGTAGGAAATTGAGGTATAAAAAAGAGATTTGAGATGAATGAATGTGATGATTCGTGGTTGTTCCCTTTACAACCGCGTTTGAGTCATGAATGATTGAAAACCTACCGAGCTCAGGTAAATTAACCATACGGTAACCATAAGCAATAATTCAACACTTGGTCTAATAAAGATTACTACAATTATGAAGTACGGCCAATGTATATATCTGTAATTACTATTTTATATGTAATTCTTTGTTTGTATATATATGAAAAAAATTATATGGACAGTAACTCGAGTCGATGTTACTTAAGGTACAAATAACAATTATAACCGGTAATGTATCTGTAATTAGTGTTTAACCCTGTGATACCGACAGTAACAGTATGTATGCGAATTCAGTATACGATGGTCATTATATCTGAAAGAAGAGGGTTATCCTTTTTCTACTCGTGGTAACATCAGTTACCCCACCTCACATTGAAATTCAATTGGCGAAGATTAATGTTTCAGCAAGCAGAGGGCTTACCCTCTGCGGGTTCATGGCATGCATATGTTACTGCATCTTAATCTAGATTAAACGAGTTCTCACCTATAGTTCCCACAGAGCCTGGCGGGATCTCCAGTCCTCCTACTGAAAAAATCAGAAGGAGCACCACAGCCAACGGGCTCTCTATCACCTGCTCAGGAAATTGCATTTGACTTATATATAGCGGTTTCAGCGTTTAGTAGGCCGCTGGCCTGTCGCCGATTCTTAACATCGCAGAACATTCACAGCATTTTGCGGTCTCGAACTCGCAACTCACTGCTACAATTCTGCTGTGCTTAACCGCCCGGCCTCCTCGCCGATTCTGACCAGAAACTGGCGCACAGAGCTGGGATCGAACTCGCGCCTCTCTGCGCCAATCTTGGTACTCTGGGGCCATACTTTCAAAACTCGCTAAGTGAACGCAAGTACTTATGCTCTATTTTCTTGTCTATGATTGGTGGATTTGGCTTGAAAGGTCGTCAATGATTGGCTGATGAACTTACGATCTCTTAACTTTTTTGAAAGTATGGCCCCCGAACTGTAACCACTAGGCCACCCTTAACCACTAGGCCACCCTTAGAAAAAGGCAGAAGTAAAAAACCGCCACTGTTACAAACTCGCGATTACCTGTCGTCTTTTTCAAGTGGTTTGTTCCAATAATTGTGGAGCAAATGCATTTTAGCTTAACAGGTGTGCTAATTAATTTGAACGTAACAGGTGGTTGCATTTGTTGCATTTCACACCTGCTGTGCTGCAGATGATCAGCAGCTCAGCAGGTGTGGAAATGACAGCAGCCATATCGGTTATACATATCGATTTACAAAACACGTATGCTGAGGAAATTCAATTCAAAAGTGGGAATTAAGACTTGGATTCAATAAAACTATTGTATAATCTGATGGTCTTTCTTAAATAATTGTAATATTAGCTATTTCTTTAATCGCTAATCAATTTTCATGTTCATTTCCTTCTCTACTTGCAGTCATTTAGGCTTCGGTGTTTGCTCGGATGGTGAAGTCGTTATTAGAATTAAATACATTATTTTTAGGAGTTTGAACGCTCACCATAATTAAGACGCACTGCAAGCGTTACAGTTTCTTTCTTCTCTCCGTATCCTGCTAAGCGAAGAATAACTCAAATCTGCCAGAGCAGCAACACTGCACTGGAAATCGACCTCGCGACTCGCCAGGAACCAAGATATTCAGAGTAATGTTGGTAGCATCGTCTTAACCTGGCCTTATATATGCGTGAACTCCTTGATCAGTGCATAACATTCCTTTGCTGCAACGAAGCACGCTTTTCATGACGGTATGTTTCGCATATCTTGCCTGAAACTATTTCTTATCGGGCACCGGGAAGCGTTGCAGCATTACTTGGATCTGAACTTGAGGACAAACTCTTTCTTCTTAAACATTTATCTGTTTAAATTATAAATTAGTGTAATTAATTCTGTACCAACATTTCCACCAAAACTGACTTTCTTGGAGTCAAATTATTCAGTAAAAAATCATCATGCGTTGCCAATGCGATGTGAAGTGCAGAATCAACTAGGCATCGAAACTTGCCAAAGCTTCGGTAAATAACTTGTCACAGCTTCGTTTTGTTATAGCTAGTAATAATTAAGTGATGTGTGTTTTTGGCCAAGGAGTTAAAAACCAAAAATGGAGTTAGATGACCGGTGCTATATAGGCAGCTGCCTTGCCTGTATAGGGTTTCCTGCCCCCTGGCATGCGTGACGCGCACCGCAGCCCTGGTGAACACGAAGGCAATGGGCCTATCATACAACCAAGGGGCAAACGAACTTTCTTGTCACGATTCTTTTAACAAATTACGAGTGCATCAGGAACAAGGAACGAGTGCATCAATACAATTTTTTCATGACAGGTCCATATCATTGCTTTACCGCGTTATCTTTGCGGAAAAACGATACTATAATATAGCCGCTGTGTAGAGATGTCGCCGCTTTAGTTTTGTGATGCACCGCAGTTCGCATCTTATACAGTGAATACATTTCACATTTTGGCGCAGTGAGTTCATTTCACATTTTGTCCAGTGGGCACAGCATTTATCTTATGCACTGAGTACAGTTCACAATTTGTGCAGTTTGCACAGCACTCTCTTATGCAGGGAGTACAGTTTACTTTTTGTGCAATGAGCACAGCACTTATCTTGTGCAGTTAGCATAGTACACATCTTCTGGAGTGAGTACACTACACTCTCGTCATTCAAGGCTGCGTTTCTGCTTTGGAACATATTGAGGTAATGAACATTAGAAGAAGGCAAAATGTTTGAAAGGAAATAAAGGAATAAACGTTAGAATCGTGGAAAACGTTAGACCCTATCTAGAGGGAGGAACGTTAGAATTAAGGATAATCTTTAAAACGATTTAAAAGAATAAACGTCAGAATCGTGGGAATGTTGGAAACATCTCAAGGAAAAAAACGTTAGAAATGAAAATAATGTTTGAAACGTAGTAACGGAATAAATAGTAAAACCGGGTAAAATGTCGGAAACAGCTTTGGGAAAAAATTTTAGAATCGAGGAAATATTTTAAACAGATGAAGAGAATAAAGGTTAGATTATGGGGAAAATGTTTGCACGAGTACCGACTGCGTGATGATGATCTGAAATAAGATTTTATAATGAAAATCGTAATAATTTAATGTTTGCAGGTGCAAGCTGTTTGATATTTAATTCAAGCATACTATATGAAGTCTCAGACACGTTCTAACAATAAGATAGTGAAAATCTTCCTCTTTCCTCATATAAGTTCGTAATAAATTCTGTACATCCAAAAAGATAATAGTAATCTAATGTGTCCCTCATAATATCGTTAAAGGCTTCCTTAATTTTGAATTCTCTTTCATTGTCTTTACTTCTTACGTTTAAACAATTATTTTTTGTTCAACAACAAATATTTTCTCAGGGCTTTGCATTCTTTCCTATACAGAATCTACATATATTGAAGAGAATCAAAATAAAGAACTTGCCGTGGTGTTGCGGTATACTGAAATGACACGTCTACTTCAATTAACGTTGTTCTTGATTATTGTCTTTATTTCATACTTCGAGTATTATTTTTACCACTTCACAACGCAAACTTCTTTTTTAGTCCGGCCAGTTTCACGTTGTCGCACTTCAAGTGATGGAAATCCTCAAAAGAATGATTCATGCGCATTTGCACGGACTTTAGTAACCTTTGAGCTAAGAAATAGGCTTGGAAATCAAATTTGCGAGTACATTCATTTAATTGTGATCAACGAAACTTTCTGTGTCGACGTGAGTATGCAAAAAAATTAGTATGTAGTCCCCATTTTTGTCGATGAAAAATTGGCAAAAACTTGTGTTGATAGCGTATTATGTATTGGTAACTTATACTGGTATATAACATATTGTATTGTATAATAAAATATTGCACAAACTTATTATATTCGACTGTCCTTAATTGAGGTCCCAATTTTCAGTTTATTTTATCAAATACAAGCGTATCTTACGTCGCGTACCAGTTTCATTGAAATAAAATACCTACTCATCAAGTCGGAGAAACATGTTCCGGTTTGTATTAATTTATTCATCAACATTAATTGGGTGCTCAATACATCAAAATCCAATTAACTAAATAAGGTACCTTAGGATTAAATTTCGTAATTCATCTAAAAGTTTTGACGCTTTCTGGGATATGAACAAAATATGTATTTGTTACTTGTGTAGTAGTACATATATTAAAATTTCAAGACTAAGTTTTAAAATTAAACTCATTGACTCAATGATTTCAAGTATCCCCCCGTTTGTGTGACAAATGAAGATTAAATTCTTTCATTAAATTATTGAAAATTTTAACGCTTTTCAAAATATGATTGATAACGGGTCTTATCCAAATGAACAATTGTGATTTAAAATTAAAAGAATAATGAACTCTCAAGACCGTCTGGAACAAAAGAATAATTCTAAGTTTGTTTCACACTTTTACTGCGTCCTAGAATATATAATTTTCCGTCACAAGGAATAATATTTGTTCAGATACGGACGACTCCCGCCATGCACAAGACACTGACGGCCATCTTTCCCAACCTCTCCGTGGCACCACTGACGAATTCATGTCAAGAGGTCAGGAAAAATAGAAGTCTTTATAATAATGCCATGTTTTCACAAACGCACAGGCAATTCATTTTCATGTATGAACATTAACTTATGGGCATTCATAAAAACTATTATTATCTTTAAATTAAATATAATTACTGTAATTTGCTATTAATTGGGTAAGCTTTAGTCCGGCATCATTAATGTTCAAATTTTAGCCAAATTCCCGATTATTCTACTCCATTAACTTCAGTCGATGAAACCTGGTATACTGAATTCAACCTCATCTAATTTGACCGTTTTGAACTCGTTTCTGATAGTTAACTACCGTAATAAGCAACTGATTGGTAGTTACTAACTATATACAACCGGATAATAATTTATAATTTTTGATCGCTAGTTAATCATCTGTTCGTTTTGTCATACGAGTTAAACTGCAGGCCCTAAATTTGACAATTCTGGCGTTATTTTGTTTCTTATATACAGAAGACCTAAACTAACTAATTACAGATTATCGTAAGTTAATAAAATCAGAATGTATCTTGCAATATCTAATTATATGCCAACCCACTCCTGAAAAATAACTTCACTTTAAACTGCAATTTGCATTATTACAGCCTATTCTCCCAGAAATGTAAACTTTATTAATATTACATTATTAATATTACATTATTATTATTATTAATCCCCTCAGGGGGAGCTTCATTTCTGACGCGTGTCTGTGCGCGTCAGAAGTCCTATGGGATTTCACGCTCCTGGGGGATTGCTCCTGAGCGCCCCACCGCTGAGCTCGCGGTGTCTGACTGCAGATCTCAGTTGTGGGGTTAAGTTATTATGTAGGTAGGATTCCTTACATTAGGTTATCATGTAGTTAGGATTCCTTACATTAAGTTATTATATAGGTAGGATTCCTTACATTTCTCTTCTGTCTCTCTCGTGCGGGCGGCCGACGTCCCGTGTAAGCGACCTCTTGTTCTAGTGTCTTCGTTTCTTTTGCTTTTCACCTGTCCCTCCTTGTCACTTCGTCTCTTTGAGATGCTAACGCTGCTTCTTTAGAGCCAGCTTCAGCGGGCTGGACATGTTAGACCTTCCGCCCCTTGTGGGTGATGACCTATTTTTGATTTGAGAACCTTTTGATAATTTAGACCTTCCGCCTCTTTGGTGATGTTCAACATGACTTTCGGTGCGAGATAGTTATACATAGCTGAAGCGCTAGTAAACATGTGGCCACAAAACTAACTTACTATTATTACATTAATAATATTACATTATTAATATTACAAATATTGCGATTTGATCTCTAGATTTTTTTTATTTGATCTTGATCTCTAGCGTTTGAATCAAGAACCGGAAATGAGGTACCTGCAAGCCATCAGGACGCTGCAGAACACATCTCACCCCGTCAACTTCGTCAGGATCGCTGACACTCCTTGTCACATCGCGCAGATTTGGCAATACCGAGAAAAATGGCGGCCCGACCTGGTCGTAGAACCAACGCTGAAGGTATCGTTGATGCCATCAAACGAAACGTGAAAGTTTGATTTCCCAAATTATAATGAAACTGAAGGAAATATTCGTTATTCATCTTCATTTCTAATTTCCCGTTGATTTTTGTTCATTACTAGTATAATTTAAACTGTGTTCAAATGAGAACTTTGCTGAACCTATATTTTTACAATTTATTGCTAGACCTAAAATTTATGTGAAGGTTTTAATTGGCTGAACATTATAGAAATTGAGTCTCATATTTAGAGCAAAACGATCAATTGTACTTAATCAAATGATGTATAGATAAGTTCATAGGATGACCATAGAAGTAGCGTAAACCACTTCTTTAGAAAACCACTATTCATTTAAGTGCTTGATATTGGGTGTTCCACTGATCTGGATCCTACATAGTTGGTTTTTGCATTATGACATCAGAACAGTATTTATTTATGCCTTGGATTTATTTATGTACAATATTCTGGATCGTACTCTCAGATTTTGTTTAACTTCGCAGGCTCATGCAGAAAGCCGCCAGCTGAAGATGAAGCAGGATTGGTTGCAGTCCCAGAACTCCTCTCGAATTGTGAGAGTTAAATTTTATTTTAATTGAACAATTTTACAATAAGATTTTTCATAGCTTGCTATGTTTGAACTTTTAAAATACGAGGATTGAAGAATTTAGCCTTATTTTTCAACGCGTTCTGTGTTGAACATCATTCAATAATATTAGATTTCAACCTCGGCATGTTCAACCTGGGTCATCGGGACTGCCTTCTGCGAGCATGGAATCCGAATCGGCCTTTTAACAACTTTGAATGCATGATTTCTCATCCTTTATTATTAAAATTGTTTCTATGACGACATACATTTGTTTCTATGACAGTAAATACAGACAACAGTATTAAAAAATATAACTCAGTACTCACTGCAGTGAGTGACAGAGAGAGCGCATTTTCTCGTCGACGAAAGCGTGAAGTCACGGACGGACAGACAGACAGACGGACAGACGGACGGACGGACATGGCGAGCACAATAGCGCCGTTTTTCCATTAATGAGAAAATGCGCTAGAAATGATGAACTGTAAAATTTGTTTTGCACATGAGGTGAGCGAATTAAAATCATTTTTTCCATACCAAACACATAAAATCATTTTTTCCATACCAAACACATAAAAAATAATTTCTCCGACCAGGATAGTCGAGTGCCAGCGTTGAACTAATATCATTCACTCAGACCAAACTCGACTACAGTAAAGGTGCATATGACAAGCGAGCACCAAACGTGCGTGCCAATTAACAAACCATGTTTAACAAAAAATTTTATTTAGTTAAATTTAACATAAGCCACTTTTGGAACCTTAATTTAACCAACTATTATTTAAAATATGCCCCTCTATCACCCCAGCAAAATGTCACGATAGTAGGAGTTCATGTCCGACGGAGCGACTACGTGGCTCTTCTCAAAATCCACCACATTGGGATCAAAAGCTGCTTCCTGCACGATATTTTTTAGCAGCTTTCCAGTACTACAGAGAAAGGTGAGGGGAATTTAATATTATAAAATATTGTCTAATAATTTTGATTGTAATAATTTTGTAAAATACTGCCTCATATAAATAATGAGGCGTCAGAAAACACGAAATTCACTGCAGGATCTTAGTGGATTAGATCGATATTATCAAAATCGAATATTGTGCACTCGCTTAGCTTTGTAAAAATATTGAAAACATTTTACTAGTTTCTCAGTCTTCATCTTAAGCCTAAGGGGTAGCTGAAGTATAAGTTGTCAGGAGCACTTTTATAACCTGCTCTTCTGTTCCAGGTTTTAAAACTGTTTTCCACTTTGATTACCAAAACAATTTTGTCACCTGTTCTTCTGTTACAGGTTCCATAATTGTTTGTTCATCGTGATTACCGAACCTGGAGAATATGAGTGGTGCCGCCAAAACCTTGCTCGTAACTCAACTGATGTCATCGTAGCAGACGACAAATGTCATGCTCAACAAGACTTTGCTCTACTGTCAACTTTCAAGCATTTTATTTATTCCTTTGGAACTTTCGGGATTTTGGGCATTTTCCTGTCTAACGCTAAAACTGTCGTGTATCCTCACGCTGCTATGGACGGTAAAAATTTGAGATATTTTTTTATTCAGATCTAGATAAGATCAGTTCTGAACAAGATCAAATCGAGTTCATTCAGATAAAATTCTGATTGAAGTTGTTCAAAAATGTACAGTAGATGATTTTAGTTATATATATATTGAGCGTATGCTCCTGAAAGTGGAATCTTTTAACGCAAAACGCTGATTATATGAAATTCAAAACATTGGACATTTCAAATCGTTGATTGGCACTTGAGATTTATGTGATATTCATGTGGTTTACGTCATACACCGTGAAACCCAAGAGTAAAAAAAGCAATAAAATGTTTAAAGTGGCCGAGTGGTTAAAGTTCCGAACGCCAAAGTTTGAGCAATGTTACCAGCAATCAACTGTGAAAATTCCGGTCGAAATTGACGAGGATGCCGGGCGGTTAATTAAGAGAAGCGGAGATTGGAGCAGTAAATTGAGTGTTCCGAAGCTGTAAAAATTCTGCAATGATCAGAATCGGCAAAAGGCCTAGTAGCTTCAATCTTCGACGCTAAACAGCCATTGTATTATTATTGTTTGTACTATTATTATTGTTATAATTTATAAGATTAACAGCCGACCATAAGTGACTTTCTGTCTCCAAAAGTGTGGGGCGTGCCCGCTGGTAGGGCACGGCGACACGGCACCTATAGTAGAGGTGACAGGCTGGATTCAATTTCTTGCCTTTCTTATTTAATTCACTCTACTCAAAATGCAATGACAACAACGACCATACTTATGCTCATAAACAAAAATTTAAATATAATTTCAAACGATAGGCCGATAAGGTAATTCATGTTCAGCCTTGACCCCATGTTGAGGTACACTCGTATTCTGTATGCGTAGTTCTTGATTTAATCTTATTGAAATTCTGTCTGCAGCTATGCCGAGTTTCATCGCATTCAAGAGTACAAATTTATTTATTATAACAAATTTATGATATCTGACTCCACCTTCAAGCTGAGATTAACAGCTCAAATTTTTGCGTGGATTCTGTTCTGTATTGGAGAGGATACGTATCTCTTAGAGCTGTGGTGGTGCAGTGGTGAAAGACTCGGTCTCTCGCACCCAGCTTCCGGGTTCGAGTCCCACTGAGGACAAGTTCTTTCGGGAGGCTCAGCTCATGGTCAACTCAGCCATTCATCCCACTATGGTTGATAAATGAGTACCTGGCTTGTCCAGGGTGTTGTGTAATGCAATATAATGGTTTTGGCGGGTTAGCGAGCCAGAGATGGCCGTAGAACTACCAGTGGCACCAAGTGCCCGGAAAAACTGAGCTGCTGACAAACAACAAACTGATTAAAACAACAACAACAACATACGTACCCTTTTATTTTTTACTCACATTGAATGTTTAAATAATTTGACTGATGCAGTTTTAGTTTATTAATTTCGTATAAGTGATGAGGGACCACTGATCTATGTTATATCCCTAGATTGCGTTTGTGATAAGTTGTTGGACGCACACCAGATCCTGTTCCTTATTTTGTATTCAACCTTTATTGTATTTTTGATTAGTATTTGAACTAACGCCAGATACTTTCGTTTATGTTTTATTCAACTGTGTGTGTTTTTGATTAGTTGTTGAACGCTCACCAAATACCTTCGTTTATTTTTTATTCAACTGTATGTGTTTGAAGCCTTCAATTTTATGTGCGCCATTCATCTTGATATTTTATCACCTCTTCTGAAGAGCAAATATCGTCTTGATCCATTGAAAACTAACGATTCATAATGGTACATTTGTTATTTAAAAATGTTCTATAATAAGTAAAACCTTCTCTGTATACTCTCTATGAAATGCTAGAACATTTTTTTCTCTTTTTTATACATTCCTAAAGACTTCTCTTCATATAATTAAGATATTGTTCATAAAAGCTCTTAATATTCTCAAAAATTATTGCTCGTATATTTTCAAACACTCATCATAAACCATCATGCATTCTTGAGACAATTTATTTTAGTAATTGTGATGATTCCTTATGAATAGAATTCTTATATTTTTCAACCTGCCAAATATGTTTATCTGGTATCTCACACGTAATCTACCGAGCAGCTACGAATAAACCTCCTAGTCAGCTTCAAATTATAAGTATAGAGGTTATAAGCATAAGTATAAGAGGAGAATGAATACAAATTTGCATTTTTTTCAGTTGAGTAGATTAAATTTTGTTCATAAAATACAAGCATTGGGTTACTTTAAGCTTCAAAACCGGCGCTCTGTTGGAATCCAATGTCCAAGGTAAGTTTTAAAGGGTCTTTCACGTTTCAGCATAAACTTCGTTAGAAAATTATGAACTTGTACGTGACTGCGAGATCCGGAATGAAGAATTCCGGATAAATGGATTATTTTATACCGAATAAAGTCAGTCAGGGATAGCTGTCGAATTGCGTTTAATAATTAATCATGGTTTGCTCGGAATTTGGATTAAACAGAGACTTTTGGTAGCATTGAACAAATTGAAATAAACTTCATCTATACCCGTGTATTTTAGAGCAGCTTTGCCCAGGATACTGCTAGCAGAAATAAATTCTTATTTACTCATCATATCTTCCTGGTGTGAACGGTAAAAAAAACAGTGCAAATCAGTAGCAGCATCATTATCTCTACACACATTTAGGCTCTACGCAACATTTCCAGCGTTGAAGTTGGGTAATCATGACGAATTTTCAACGTGTTTTATTCATATTCATTACTCTTGAAAGGGAAAATCTGCATTTTCAAGTAAAGATTTTCCAGTAATGCATAGGCAATCTTCACTTGATTGTGCACCGTGCAGCCACATTTCCAGGACTCCCTCAGATAATTATCGAACATAACTCTGTTTAAAATCAAATATGACATCGGAAAAGCGTAATAAAACCATAATCGTAAAGCATTTTACAAAGGGATCAAATGGAATCAGTGCTGAAAATTTTGATTTCGAAACCTAAGTATTGCATCTGATTATTAGCTGTCGGTGCATACGTTAAAGCCTTCAGTCATATTTTTTTCTTATTTAACCCCCTTGTGACTGTATAGCGTACGAATTAGGAAAAAAAATCTTTGCTTCTCATTCTTTTTGAATTGCAATTGCATCCAAATTGCAAACGGGAGTCAGCTGTCAGTATCGATGCATGCGCTCAATGTCTTTATTACTTTCATGCTTAATTTATAGTAATCTTACGGATCACTCGTCACTTGGGATATATTATTTTTACTTGTGTAAATGTTAGAACTTCATCGAGCAGAGTATATTATGAAAAATTCATGCATGACTATTGACTATTTCTTCAAGTATTGGGTCGTTTCGGCATGAATATAAAGTATAGCAAAAAGTCGCTCAGAGACAGCCATACGAGTGTCAAAAATTTGTCAATTCTAACTCCTAACATTAAAACTTTTATCTATTATAATTTGCTATATAAGAAAGCAGTAGAATTAGGAGGCTGCTGTCTGGACTCGCAAGTGAATGTGAAATATTCAAATTGTACAGTGAATTCATGTGAATAAATTTTTGTGTAACTATGATTTGTTCCATTTTCATGCTGTGAACCCCGAAATTTTGTCGTATTTTTTAACCACAAGGCTGAACATATAACCTGCAGTTTATATTAATCCGAGGCGTAAAATAACTTATTGTTCAAATCTAAGATACGGTTAACCATGATAAACTTTTTCCTTTCTTTGTCATTGCAACCTATCATTATCAGTCTTTGAATATGATCTATCGAATATTATTCCATCACTATTGGTAACATAACTACACACTCAAAAAATATCAATGTTGCATTTATTAATCCAGGTCGGATTTCAATGCTTTTGATAAATAAAGCTGGATTTAAAACTGTATACTTGAACGCAGCGAAATGTTCTGGCAAAAAAAAAACAGTGCAGTCCAAAGGCAACAGTCCGCTAAGCAATACGACCAAGTTTTAAAAGCAAGTTCTTTTGGTGTAGCATTTTACGGTCAAGTCATACATCTAGGAAAAAAATATACACGAGAAATACATTTTTTGCCGAAAAAATTTCTGCTCATCTGTGTTTTACAAACGTATTCAATCAACTTCAAAATTATTCACTTAACAGTCTTTCAGTGTTGCCAATGCATTTGAAACGATGCCATTTCGAAGCTAGGCGTTGTGGTAAGAGACTAGCTTATTTAGCTTCATTTGCTCAGGCTATGGGCTAATAATTTGATACATTAATTAGTGATATGTGTTCATTAAGCAATGAGTCATTTGTTTACTTTGATATGAATTAACTGTTATACCTATCATCTTGTTATGAAAAGGTAAGTTTTGGGATCACATTCACAACATAGAAGGGTCAGATGTTCCGAGTTAACCGGTAACATAGATAATAACAGTTAAGATATAAAAATTGTTACGGTCGTTTATCAGGAATATTTGTTGATGACATTATTATAATATGATCCTTGTACATTGACACAAGTAATGCTTCAATAATCCAATCTCAATGTACTATTTAGGTCAGAATCTATATTTTTTCCTCCTTAAAACCTCGATTTCGTTTTTTCAATTCGAAAAATAATTGCTAGCGTTACTTGTCACTTTACTTTTTACTTTTTCTCTTTTTGACATTCTACGTTAATCTCAAATGCCAGACTCATTTACCTCTTTGTTATCAGTAGAATATTAGTTATATAACCTATAGATGCTTGATGCCTATATCTGGTGGGTTGCCTGCTTCACGCGCCCTGCAGCATGAAGGCGTTTAAGCGTTCAAGACAACCAAGAGGCAAACGAACTTCTTGTCCCGATTCTCTGAATAAATTACAAGTGCATCAAGTTGTATTTCATGAGTGGAAATGGATCTGCGGAACCTTTTTCTCGCTAGGGCCTTTCTATTTATGTTATCTTTCTTCATCAATGTTATCTTTCAGCAAAAATGATAAGCACCGGTGAGAGAGGATGCTCCTACATTAGTTTCGTCTGTTGCATTGAGCGCACTTGACAGATATTCATGGCGGTGCGCTTAGTTTATAACATAATAAAGGATAATACGTTAGAAGTTGATGAAATGTTTCGCTGTGTGCGATTTACTCATGCTAGATGCTGCCAAGCAATGCATGAGACCGACTAAGTTTTAGAATCAAAATGTACCGTCTCGATTTATTAAGTGAATTTTAAAAATACATATCCTGTTCATTATTGTTGGTAAAATCTTTACAATAAATATATTAAAGACAACCGAGTTATAATAATTAAAAATATGACTCATTGAAGAAAGTTGCAATAATATTTGCAGGCGCTTGCTGTTTAATAATTAATTCAAGCTTGTTTGGTTAATTTTTCATCGACATTCTAAGTAATAATAAGATTGTTAAAAGCTTCATTATTAGTTATTACTAATTAACATTTTTAATTCGCCTTCGACATTATAACTGAATGCTTTCAAACAATTAATCGTTGTTCAATAATATATTTTCTTTGTGTTTTTACCACTCATCAGAATCAGATGATTGGAGTCTACATGTATCGGAAAAGGAAACGCTAGCTTTGGTGTTGGTGCATCAAAATGAAGGGACTTCTCCAATCAACGTTTCTCTCTGTCATCGTCGCTATATCCTACCTAGCCTATTTTTGGTACTATTTCTCATCGCAATCATCTTATCCTACCCGGCCAGTTTCAACCTTTGACACTTCAACATCAGGCAATGGAGAGCAACAGCCCTTAGAAAACAATTCTTGCCAATTTGCACGGCCTTTAGTATCCTTTGACCCAAGAGGTAGACTTGGAAATCAAATTTGCGAGTACGTTCATTTACTTATGATCAACGAAACTTTTTATGTCGACGTGAGTATGCGCAAAGTTTTGTACATTGTCCAATTTGTGTCAATTATAAAGAATTTGACGTAAATATTAGGATATTATGCAGACTATAACTTATTATACACCCTATTAACTATGCATGTAAACGAGTGTCCAAATTGGGATCACCATACAACCCATCTTTGCCTTAACAAATGTAAGTTTGATCTAATACTGCACTCAAAAGTGCCTCGCGATTAGAACGA